GTTAGACTGCTTGGTCCTGTTCAGTTAAACTGCTTGGTCCTGTTCAGTTAGACTGCTTGGTCCTGTTCAGTTAGTTGCTTTGTCCTGTTCAGTTAAACTGCTTGGTCCTATTCAGTTAGACTGCTTGGTCCTGTTCAATTAGACTGCTTGGTCCTGTTCATATAAACTGCTTGGTCCTGTTCAGTTAGATTGCTTGGTCCTGTTCAATTAGACTGCTTGGTCCTGTTCAGTCTGCTCCTGTTCAGTTAGAATGCTTGCCCCTCTTCAATTAGACTGCTTGGTCCTGTTCAGTCTGCTCCTGTTCAGTTAGAATGCTTGCCCCTCTTCGATGCAACTGCTAGCTCCTGATAAATATTACATCGCATTTTGCAGAAAATTGTATCACAAACTGTGATGTGATACCGCTTATTTTGTTCCCTGAAAACACACACAGGTAATGTTATCAAAAAAACAATTAACAACCAAATAACACAAGATACATAGGTAAATCAATGGAAGCCATAAAAGGGATATAACAATAACAATTCATTGAACCAGCTACGCAAACAGAAACAAGTGGTTGCCTAGCAAGATACGCCCACTTTCTTGATAAATTTTCAATATATCAAGGGTAGTCACCTATCTGTGTCAAAAAATTAATTTGTGCAAGATATTGTTGATTTAAACAAACACACATTATTTAATAAAATTCTGACATAAACTGTCACCTCTAACGCTAAAAAATTTTGATGAGTTTTACTAAGTCATGAGCAATAACTTAAATTCCGTTGATCGAAAAATTGTCAAATTTAATCTTGACTAAGATCTCATCATTATAATTGATACCAATTTTCATTTAAATCGGATGAAAACTGTAGTCTCTATTGAGTTTACAAACAAATTTTGACGCATTTTTCATAAATCAAGGGCAATAACTCAAAAACCATTCATCGAAAGATAGCCAAATTCAAACTTGCCCAAGATCTCATCATTATAAATATTCACACCAAATTTCATTGAAATTGGATAAAAACTGTAGTTTCTATTGTGTTCACAACAAAATTTTGACGCGTTTTTCATCAAGGGTAGTAACTCAATAACCGTTCATCGAAAGATCGTCTAATTCGAACTTGTCCAAGATCTCATAAATATAAATGATCACACCAAATTTCATTCAAATCAGATGAAAACTATCGTGTTCACAAGCCAATTTTGACGCGTTTTGGCTAAGTCAAGGTGACAACAATATACGTCCACATTATAATGTGGGCGTATAAAAATGCTATTTTGGATTGGTTTTCCAATCACACCAAATATGTCATACAAATG